CTCCTGTTGCTGCTTGATTTCTAATTAACTGCACCAATATTATAGTTTATTTCGGTGTATAAACTTCAGTGCACTGTGAGCCAATCAAGCTTATAATTATTTAGCTAGAATTAACATAGGCTTCCCCCTGGCCATCTTGACCCACATTGTAGAGTAGGCACCTGGCCTACTCCACATTCATTAACATTCTCTGGGCATTGTTCTGCCCTGTCTTCCTCGCCAGGACAGAGGCAACTATAATAAGATTAGTTCCAGTATCACACTGGAGGCAAAAGCCTGACACCAGTTTTAAAAAGCAAACAAAGCTTACATTTTAGGGAAACAGAAGGACCATCCAGCACACGTATAAGCCCTTCTTTCTGTACATGAAGTTCAATTATTCCAGCCTTGCCCCTCAATACATAGGCAGTTATTATTTTCTCAAAAAGAGGCAATCCGAAGTCCTTTCCAGCAGCAATGTGACAATGTCATGAGACCACTATTTTTCCAGCTCAGTATCTCCAAATAATTTACTTTTCCCTTTACTTGGTCTTAATCTGGTCCAATTTTGAGATCTCATGATACTGCAACCTTAGACCAAACAAGAACTGTAATTCCTATCAACCACCTGTTAGGTATCACAATGGAGAGCAAATAAAACTACAATAAAAACTTCCATTTAGAACATGGAAAAAGGAGAAGAAACCACAGGACATGTACCATCTGTTGCTGGACAGAATTAATAAAGCAAAGCAGAGAACCATAGCATCTCATGGGCATGATTTGGTTGACTTCGCAATAGTGAGAGATCTATTGTTAATAAATCTAGCTGCTTTGATATTTTCTTCTGAGATCATTTCTATTGTCAAGGGAGCATATAAAAGGACATTAGAGGAGACTACCCTGCTTGGGGAAAGATGATGGGTATATCTCACTTGCAATTCACTTTTTGTTAAAGGTATTGGAGTCCACAAATGCCCTGAGAACTTGAGGGTCTCCTAGGAACTGGAACATTTGTTTTAATGAATCAGAGGCCTGTTATACAGATTATGTTTTTCTGGTGCTATAATTCTAATAAAAACTTTGTCACCTGTCCATTAGTTTTATTTTAGGGGAAATTCCTAAAATCAAACACCAAAAATGTCAGGTCAGCAGGGCTGCTAAATTGAAGAGCCAAGGCTGGCCTACACCCATAGAGTTTCCACTTGTTATCAGCAACTCTGGGGCAATATATATCCCAGTGTGCTCTGTTTGACAAACTTTATATCAGGACAGCATGAAGGAAACTAGCTGGGCTGGCAGAGAGGTCTTCTGTATTCCCTAAAATATTGCCTGGTGATCTGAATTCATGGCATCCTGAATCTTCGCTCCCAGGTTGCTGACCTCAAACTTGGCCCAAATAAACTCTACTTATATTTAAACAGACATATAAATACAAATATAATATATATGATGTGTGTGCATATGTGTGTGTGTGTGTGTGTGTGTGTGTATAAATATACATAGCAGTCCAATGTATTTTGTACTGGTAATGACATCCTATTTGATTTGCCAGGAGGGAAGCCAGTGTGAGGTTCTCTAATGTACCTCAGGGAGCCAAGATTCCCCAAACTCTCCATTCCATTCATTCCTTCCCACTCCCGTTGCCAGGATCTCAAACTTTCCCAGTAAGCATTTTAAACTTACATACAGAAATGGAAGTGAATCAAAGAACTTGACTTCTGTGCCTCAGTCCATCAAATGATTGCTTTCTTCATCTGGACCTCCACATTCTCAATTCCCAACTTCTTTTTTCTACTCACATCCAGAAAAATCTTCATGGAAGAATATAAATTTCTGGTTGTACCTTATTGAAAGTACTCAGAAAAAATCAGCACAATCTAATTTATCAATCTGGGTCTAATCAGGAGGGAGAAACCACTACAATAATTTGAATAGAAAAAGTTTAATATAAAAATTTTAAATTATAATAGATTTTATAGGCTGAATTGTATCCTTTTCTCTCCCCAAATTCCTATGTTGAAGTTCTAACCTCAGTACCTTAGAATGTGACTCTTTTTGGAGATAGCGCCTTTTAAAAAGGTATTAAGTTAAAATGGGGGTGATAGTGTAACTATTAACTCACAAATATCTAAGAGATGGTACAACTACTGCAAATGGTGAGGGAAACAAGCAAACGATGCTCTGTGCTTTAAGCTTCATCCAAAGTCTGGAGAGAGACCAGTGGGTGAAAAACAATAGCAACAGAGAGTAGAGTTGTTGTCTCTATATTTAAATACTTTATTTTTGAAACCCCAGGAGCTTTGCCAGTAAGATGACATTTCTTCTTTCCTAAATTTCACTGACAATTATAATTTCCCAAACTGGATGTCATAGAACTATATACACCATGGTATTTGCTTAAATTTTTTTTTGTTTGTTGTTTTTTTCCTTAAATTGTGTTTAAAAAAGACAAAACATGAAATATACCATTCTGACCTTTTTTAAGTGTATAAGACAGTAGTGTTATCTACAGTCACCTTGTTAGGCAACAGATCTCTAAAACTTTTTATCTTGCAGACCTGAAACTCTATACCTATTGAATAACAACTCCCTTTTCTATTTTCAACTATCATTCTACTTTCTATTTCTAAGAGTTTGATCACTTTATTGAGGTTTCTTTTTTTCTTTTTTTTTTTTTTTTTT